TTCCCCTTCTGACGTCACAAGGGGAATTTATGTATGCAAATGAGAAGCTAATGAGGAGCCTCGTTTTAAAATATATAAAAATAAAGTTGTCATAGACTGAGTTTAAAACACATTTTTTCACTTAAAAATAATAATTCATGCTTAGAAACATAAAAATTAATAATATTTATGTACCAATTGATAATTTTAGGCGTGAAAATAGCAGCCATTTCACAGGCACTTTAACTTTCTATACTTTAAGTAACTATGTACCAGGCTTCATTGAAATGTGATCAGATTACTACTTGAAATATCAAAAGCTGAAAATTAATTAATTATGCAAATTAGGTAATTAATATGTACTGATATTACCCTAAAAACTATCAGGTCTGTGCAGTGTCCTATGACATCAATGTACCAAGTTTCATTGAAATGTGATGATTAGTACTTGAAATATCAGTGGAAAAGCCGAAAATTGATTAATCATTATGCAAATTGGGTAATTAATATTGCAAAGATTTTTACCCAAAACTAATCAAATCTGCGCATTAGTTTGGAGCATCTATGTGCCAAGTTTCATCACAATCCAATAAGTGGTTCTTTAGATATCAGTGGAACAGTCATGGAACAGCTAAAAATCAGCTAATTATCATGCAAATCAGGTAATTAATATGCATGGATTTTTACCAAAACCTAATCAAATCTGCGCATTGGCCCAGAGCATCTATGCACTAAGTTTTATCAAAAATCAATGTATGGTTCTTGAGATATCAGTGGAACAGACGGACACACGTACACACACACATACACACACACACTAACATACAGACACACTAACTGCAAAGACTCCCAACTGCAAAGAGTCAAAAATCAATAAATTTCATCACAGCTTTTGCAATCCTGGCTTGCAGTCTCGGAATATGCATCAAAGAATTATTATCTCAATCAGTACATAAAGAATAATCACAATTTTAAAATTTCAGGCAAAGGTGTTTGTAAATCATCTTTTTAACACTAAAAAGAAAACTCATAGAATGAAGAGAGATAGTCAATAGTAGTATACCACACTGTGTTACTTAAATGGTATTATCAGCATGGAACAAGCCATGCATGGCACAGTCCCCTATAGTTATCAAATTTAAGATATATAGTTTTCTTTATAGCAATATAGTGCCAACCAAAAACATGGATGATATGGATTCAGAAGCTGATGCTTGATTATGATGCTTTTTTAACATTAAAATGGTTGACATTCAGTCATCTTGTATCTGATCATCAAAGGAGTACTTGTCTATATTGAGAGATATTGCTCTGGAACAGCAATAATTAAAATAAAATGGCCACCAGTCAGCCATTTTGAATACATCCGGTTTCACGGTTTCAGAATTCCAGAAATGCTTGATTTTTGATGATTTCTTAGCAGAAAAATGGCCGCCATTTGGCCATTTTGAATTGAAAGGTCAAACCAGTACATCTGTATATAATTCTGGTACATGATGTATAATGAATATGATATGCAAAATGATACGCATCAAGGTCCCATAATGTCCAATGTATGTACCAAGTTTGAACAAAATCTGGTTTTGAAATGCCAGAAATGCCTGATTTTAGTACAAAAATAGCCACCATTCGGCCATCTTGAATCAGATCGTAAAACAAAATGGTGTGCATATGTGTAATATTCTGTATGTGTGAAGTTTGAATGTAATTGGTACAGGCATTCCTAAGATATAGGTTCAGACGCAAAGAAGCACGCACACAGAGGTCAATCCATAAGTTCCTGTTTGTGGACTTTCCTGGTATTGTCTGGAAAAATGTTGTTTTTTTTACATAGCTAGATGCAACAAGAGCAAGCCTCAAATTTTGTGAATCTAAAATCCCATACACAAAATATTCAAAATTTTAAATTGATTATTGCCAATAAAAAAAAATTTACTAGCAAAATAAAAGCATATCAGTATTGTTGTATTTGTAATACATTTCAGTGAATGTTTGATTTGCATTTTCAGTGAGTACTGTAATTTCCAAAATGTTTGAACAAAGTTATTTTTTCAGTATTTATTTGTATTTGTGGCACCAAAAGATCGCACAGGTGCTGAAACCTTGCCCATGGGTGATATTTTGGAGTAGGTGATTTTTCAAATAAATACAGTAGAATGATGGGATGGGATAATTTGCATTTGTACTGGAGTTTGATAGTGAGAGTTGAGATCACATGTATTGTGACCTTAAACTCTGCTGGATACTGATTTGGATTGTAAGTCATCCCATGCTATCAATGGCTTACAATGAGCAAGGTTACTACAGTACAGCATGCTATCTAAAGTAAAGATCTTCACCTTTTCACAGTTCAGGAGTTGAACTGAGCATGGAAAAATTGGTATGGGATATTTTAATATGCATATTTCTGTTAATTTGAAATTATTATCAAATGTCCTGCAAAAAAACAACAACAACTTATTATTATTGCCCGAAAAGGAAAATACATAATGTAATGCAAATAATTATCAATTGAATATGGGGTTATGTGCCCCATTGTCTCCCCTCCCAGCAGAAGCCTGACATTTTTCCCTTTCCTCAGTTGTAACATTATATTATTACTATTGATATATAAATACGTGCACAGGCAGTGGGAAGAAACAACATATATACATGTACATGTATATGTGCATATTCATATACACAGGAGTCAACAAAGCAATGTAAATTATTTTTTAAACCCAAATAGCAGTTACACAATGAATTAGCTTGTGTAGTGACATCACAGATTTGGTGTAATACTGTCGCTCATGGCAAGGTGGGATTGTGTCAACTAGTCATAAATTGTCTGACTGACATCCAAGCATTTTGAATGAGACTTATTTCAAAAGAAAATACTGTAGAATACTTTATTTTCACTTGGAATTAATTTTCGGTATTTTCGCTGAAGAAATGATTCAGTGAAATAAAATCCAGCAAACACAAATTTTTTCCTACATCTTACATTAAACTTGTCAAAAATTATTGAAAATAAATTCCATACAAAATACCGAAAAAGTCTTTTCAGCGAAAATTAATTCCAGCTAAAATAAAGTATTTTACAGTAGTTGGAAGTATAAATATTTATAGGTACTGGTATAATCATGGGTCTGTTGGCTCCAGTGTATTTAGAATACTGACAAACTAAGATTCATCATTGATCTACTTTGCATTGCGCTTCTTCGAACATTCAAGTTATTTAGAAATAATGTCGATCAGGTAATATGATCTAGGCATAATAGATTCAAAACAAATCAGTCTTGAAATTTAATATTCTGAAAGCAATACTTTATTTAAAAATATCCTTCTGATGAAAATATTTCAAGTTCAAAGGTCAAAGTTCAGAGTCTATAATTGTCCAACTAGCCAAAAAAGAATGGTAAATTATTTGTTGATGGAATTTGACACAGACAGTTTAAATGAAATGACTACTGTTTAATACTATATGAATACCAAAACTTGTTATAAATGCATCATTAGTTATATTAAACCGCATACAAACCCTACAGTGCATGGTGGTGTCTTACCATGGCTAGTAATAATAGTATTTTGAGGAACAACAACTACGATATGTCATAGGGCAACTACTTCAATCGGGGCTTCTCACTCCCTAAGATTGCACAATGGTCTCATGGGATACTGCTGTTCTTGATATTTAAACAACTAATCTGTCCATTGTTGTTTTACATTGTTTTGTTTTTTAATCAAGTAAGAAGGAAAGTAACAACCCCAAAAACCAATCCTATAAACAACCCAGCGTTTTAATGAAAATTTCTCATAGATCAAAGTCTGTTCAAAATGCATAACAAATGTTCACGTCGATGGCAATGCCCGGAAAATGTAAACTAAAAAATGTTAAGCTCCGAAACTGTTTTGAAAGTGTAGCTCAAGTTTCCCGAACTTCAACTCCCGGTTTCAACTTCTTTATTGATTGTGCACCTGCACTAAACTGGTAACCGTTTACTGGCCGACATCTATTCTAAATAAGTGTAAGTTGAATTAATAACTCACAGGGCAGTTGGAAAACGATATTACTCACCAAACTATTGTACTGTCACATCAGGGTGTCAACTTATGTAACATAAAAACGAAGGCACAACTTTCAGAAGTTCCACAAGACAGACGAACACAAGGAAGTAAAACTATCGCCTGGTAGAGTAGAACTCCGTAGGTTGCCGGTAATTCATTCATCACTTGCTCCATTAAGTTTATTTCACCATATTTATTCAAATTCTTTAACGTTGTGTATGTAATTTGACAAAATATTTATTTAAATGAATGTATTTTGAAATGCACGAAAATTGTGCATGGTAATTGACACATATGTCGCACCAGTAAACGGATAGCGAGAGGAAATATATTGGACCTCTTAACACAAGCACAATTGTTCACCGTGGTGTACGATGGGAAATGATCCTAATTACATACTTTTTTATTAGCACGTAAATTATTCAATTCAGTTAAGATCTGCGGTAATATTTTGAGAACATTTTTCAATAATTATTATATTTCAGGTACCAATATCTCATTATAAATATGTTGCTCGCACATTTGTTATTGACCTCAAAAATAGACATACCGAAGAGTTCCGAGAGTATTAATAACGAAACGTAGCAGAAGAATACTCATTTAAATAGTGTACAAATTTGCATTCGTACATTTGATAAAACCATTCAGAAATTCCATAACAGAATATCGTTTTATCAATTTAATCATATATCTTCTCCATCTTGACACAAACTCGACTCGAACTTGGCTCTTGTGCGATCGGATTTGTTCGGGTTTCGTCGGAGATCAGCTCATGTACATAAAATTTGCATAGTCGCTTGTATGTGTTTTAGACCGACATACAAGCATGGCTTTTCCGCTGCAGTCGACTTCGAAGAAGAAAGTTTGCTATTACTATGACGGTAAGTGTCGATAACCCATTAATATATTTACATTGCGCATATATTTAATTTCCAGAGATCGGTTTCCGGCGAAACTTCGCTGTCAAAGTGTCAGTTTCGGGCAACACGGTACAGCGACCCTTCGTTGGACCGTTCCATATATATCCACACAAAGACTTCCTGTGCGCGACCTGCGACTTGGCCAAGTTGAGAATATCTCTGATTTTTCGACATTGGCACCTTTTCAACAACAATAATCTATGTCTTAAATATATAAACTACAACGCGGACTCGTATTTTAGGCTGATGGAGTTTGATTTTAGCCAAACCTCTAGTGCTAGCCGTCATTGGTGTACAAACTCCGTCCCTCCAGAAAACAAATCGTACATGTCAATGAATTTCGGTGACAATCCAGTAATTTTCGTCATGCTAAACCAGTTTTTTCCCTAAGCAGACGCGACTCCTTAACCTTACATGTCCATTCTCATCAGCAGTTGTTAAAATGCCCGTTCCAAACGTCTTTAAATGTGTTACCGTATAATTTAAACATGTTGCAGGTAAATTACAGATGCCCACAAGGACAATTCGTTTCTAGTGTGAATGCTGGGGACACCGTATTTTTCCCGCGTCTATGTATATCAGTGTTCAGCAACTGTCTGATTCTATAATTTTAATCTTAGAGTGGCTGTGCAGTATACTGCTTGTAACAATTCATGTAGTAAAAATATTGATGACAATAAAAATAGAAATGCAAAGCAAATCATTGGTAACAGGTGTGCTATTGTAATTTTTCTGACTCCCACATTTTTTGTGTGACCTACTTTACAGTATTTTGTGTTTTTTTTTTGACCTTTTTAACTCTCCATGCTCCCATGTGAATTTTCAAAAACCCTGAAAAAAGAAAAATTTTCTAATTTTTTTTTCTCATAAATCTAAATATCAGCCATGGTCATTCCTATAAACATGTGCGTGATAACAAAATGACAAAGATATCCAGAAGTTTGAAACTTCTACTTGTTCAAAACCAACCAGTGATACCGGATTCTGCCATAAATTCACTCATCCGAAAAATATATTTTTTGAGGACTTAAATTTTCATTGGAAAATCCAACTACGCCGACTTCACTGGCAGTTGGGCAACCCAAGACGAAAGAAAGTATTGCAGAAGCTAATCTAAAATTTGATACATTTTTTTCTAGCTGAATTAAAAAGTAGACCGCCTAAAATTTCATTACAATGTCACCCGGTGTCATTTTTCTCCAAATAAAATCACATTAACAAACGGTACGTCAAATACATTTTTATTTATTTTATTGGTAAAAAAAGTATATTCTACAGGAAGTTTCGAATAAAAACGAACGCAACTGCATTGCGTAGCAGCAAATGATCACGGTTGTGCAATCCTGTCATTCTGCATTTTACAATTGTTGATTATTACTCAGTAGTGATTATAATAACGTACAAAAAATAAATTTGTTGAATTCTTATGAAATGCAAATAAAATTCAACTTAGTTTCATCGTAAGCAAATTATTCCGATCGTATATAAACGTGCAATGCTGTCGGGTATCCGCCATGTTTTTCTCTTACATGAGTTGACCTAACTAACCAATCAAAATGCTGTATGATGCCAATGTGTTCAAATTACCATAGCTCATTTAAATATGTTAATGTTATTGAACGCAACGTGGAAGAGATTTGCCAATGTTATTGTAAGATCTTTTGGCTTGGATTCAAAAAATAAATTGAGCATTCAAAGAATAATTTAACATTGTTTACAATGATAACAGCTCATTGTCGAAACAAAGTTTACCCATTCCATGGATGTACTAACAAAGGATGAACCACTACCCATTCTATCGTCCCAAAAAAGATCCCTAAGTGAGTTTCTAGTGGTCCCGGCCTAAATTTTTAGTGCCCCGGGCTGTCAGGACGTTGTTAATTTCGAGGCCTGCTTTATATCAAATAAATTCTTGTCTATGCTTTTTCAATGATACTTGGTACAGATTTTTTGGGGAAAGAACTTTTTAGCATATTTCAATTGAAACTTGTAACATAGATGCCCGGGATAATCAAAGACCTGATTACTGGGTTGCCACCTGTGAGAATTATCTAATTTACATATTTCTCAGTTCTCATAAAACAAGTTATTTGTGATGTATGGAATAATTTTTCACATGTAATCTAATAAAAATAATTTCCACCATTTAGTTTGTATACTGTACTGTAAAACGTGTTTTTTTCGCGAGCCTGTCTTTTTAGCGAAATTAGGCGAGAGAACTGATTTGCTAATTCAAGATGTCGCTAATGACTTTATTATAAATTCAAAATGGCCGCCAAACAACGTCTTTTTTCTCAACACACTTTTTGTACACAACTCAAAAAAAACCTACTGACATGATAGATACACTTTATTGAAAAGTAAATTAACACAAAAAAACGTATTCATTGTGGTCATTATTTCAATAAAAATAAATAAATAAATGAGATGATACTGATATATTCTTACAGAAATTAGTACATGTAGTACTTAGTATTCAAATCTCAAATCCCTGTTGAATCATTTTTTTATCATCTCGAACAGAATCAAATTAAACTTTGACAGTTTTTGTTTTGTTTTTATGGAGGTGATAACTGCGCATTGGGTTGGTGTGTGACAGTATTGTGAAAACAGGAAATCAGCAATGATAAGAGAGATTCGCTAAATCAACATTCCGCTATTACGTCATTTTACTACAATTCACTAAAACTGCATATCGTTTTTTCAACATGTTTTACAGTATCTGAGATTATGCAAATATTAGGGGGATACGTAGGGTTTTCTCTTTGTATTGTCAACTTAAGTATTGTGTTTATCCCACAGCATATATTTCATGTACTGTAAAAGGGTTAATTATTCACTGGGTTTTAATTTTGCTTATTTCGCTGTCCCAAAAAATGCGCTAACTTAAAACCCAGTGAATATGTAAAATTTAGCATAGAACACATTATCTAAATGATTAAACTGAATTTAAAACCCACTGAATATGCCTGAAATGGTAAATCGGCGAAATTTAAACCCTGTGAAAATTAGTCATTTTACAGTATTCAATTCCCAAAGCTAACAGAAGTTCTTTTAAAGCTTTCTTAGATTTTCATGCACGAGTTGTACTGAAACTGTGTCATTTGACCTCATAGGTCAAACCAGTTGTTTACTAGTCATAATGATGGGTGATGCCAACCGAATGTATTTGAGAATTTCTAAATAGTGTCTGATAGCAAATGCAAGACAACAGAGAAATGATTTATAAAGATCGTCGCTCATTAGTGAACAAAACGAAAAGGAAAAAAAACAAATATCTGTGCATGTGACTGACCATTTGCTGCAAAAATGCCGCCAAAGCCCTGCAAACATGATTTTACGGCAATATTTACAATAGTGACCTTTTTCAGACAGCTATACTGAGAAATGGTAGCACCCTCTTTAGAAATGGTAGCACCCTCCCGGTTTACCAGGAACTGGTTGGTTAAAGGTTTAAGGTCTGCAGATGTTTTATTTAAATGGGATAGAAAGGAAATAGGTCATACAAAAATGTGTCATGTTGTCCCAAATATGATATATGATAAGTTGCATGCAGCAGATAGCCATAGCGTAACGTTGTTTACAAACAAGCATCTACATAATTTCTATTTATACCATGCGTTATAGCTAAAGACTTAATCCTCACACTTTCACAGGTGACAACCCCTCCACTTTAAGGCAAAATGCACTCAATAAATTTTGCACATAAAACATTCTGAAATGAGTGATTTTCCATATATAAATATGCTGGCTTTATAAATATCCCTTCCTATATGTGTTGTTGTTGGAAGTGAAGTCTTTGACATGTTATTTCCTCTATAGCTTTAGGTCCTTTCATTTCAAATTGGAAGACAGTACATAACTTAGTCGATAAACATCGTAATATATCAGTATAACTCGTGAATGCCTAACTTACAGATTTGATTTTTGGCCATGTTACTCAAAATTGAAAAGGCTGTCAACAACTGTTGAATAATTTATTGTCATAGGAATTTATTTTTGTTTATGAGGATTAAGCTGGGTTCTCCACGGTTTGAAAATTAAACAGGGCGCGCCAATGTGAAGTGGGCGTGGCACATTTGTAACGTGCATCATTGGCATGGATGTTGAAAAATGGAAACCAAAAAATCCATTAATCTACATATTATTACATATGCATAATTATATTTATTATTACAAAATGAATGAGAATTTTGAAGAGCTATTATTAAGTAAACGTCAGCACGTACAATCAGCTGATTTTAGCTGCACGATTCATCACGCGGCGACATCAGTTGTTTACCAGTAATGATCGCGTCCAGAAAAAGACGTAACAAGTTTGTTAATTTATTTTCCCAAATAGATACATACATGCTTTATTTAATTTTTAGCAAAAATTTATATTTATGATTTATATTTATTTGGATGAAGCAAAATAAAATGTATGATGTCGCCAAAACG